ATATATATATATATATATATATATATATGTATTCGAGTTTAGAAGCTTTCTTCATTCAATGTTAGACTCAATAAAAACGGTGTACATGGAATATTTAAAAAAAACACCGATAGGTTTTAGGAGTCGCCGAAAAAAATTAAAAATTAATCGAGTTACTAAAGTTTGAGAACCACTGATGTAGACAATATCACCAAACGTACTGAATTACACACCTCCAGTTAGCAATCGCCTCGCCCCACTTAATTTGCATGGCAATTCCACTGAACTCTAATGCAGTGGTTCTCAACCAGTGGGCCGCAACCCATTGGTGGGCCGTGTGACATGCATTTAAGGGCCGTCGCGCCCGGACAGCTGTCACTGCCCTTAACTATATATGTGGGCATTTACTATTGCGTTCAACAACTAAGTGGGCCTTGAGGAGCAAAAGGTTAAGAAACGCTGCTCCACTGCTTAAGGTTTATAACGGCCACCAGTGGCACTGACAGCTAGTTGAGTGAGAATATATCACAAGAGGAACTTGTGAACTTTGACCAAGAATGAGTATTGGATATTGCATTTGTAATGCGAGTGCTCACGATATTTTGATCCACCAGCCCATACCAAAGTTCACTGTGGGTAGTACAAAAATGCTGCCCAAAATGAGTCACTTTTTTGGTCCATGTAAACTTTGAAACATGATAAGATTAATTCGCGTATCTGGTGCTAAATCCACCACTCAAATTAAATGAGAGTAGACCAGCACCTCCACCGTGCACCCTCGGTGCTGATAAATCTCGTTGATGGACTGCAGTTGGTAATATAAGGCATCCCATATCATATTGATTAGAGTGAATATTAATGGTGAGTCACCAAGTGAAGCTATGAATCCAGCTACTCATTGTTTACTTTAGATGGTTGAGTCTGGGTTTGATGTGAAGCTATGAATCCAGCTACTCATTGTTTACTTTAGATGGTTGAGTCTGGGTTTGATGTGAAGCAATGAATCCAGCTACTCATTGTTTACTTTAGATGGTTGAGTCTGGGTTTGATGTGAAGCAATGAATCCAGCTACTCGTTGTTTACTTTAGATGGTTGAGTCTGGGTTTGATGTGAAGCAATGAATCCAGCGAACTCATTGTTTACTTTAGATGGTTGAGTTTGGGTTTGATGTGAAGCAATGAATCCAGCGAACTCATTGTTTACTTTAGATGGTTGAGTCTGGGTTTGATGTGAAGCAATGAATCCAGCTTCTCATTGTTTACTTTAGATCGTTGAGTATGGGTTTGATGACAGCCTGAAGAATGTCATGAATCACTGTATCTACCAATCATGAAAAGTGGTGGGTCAGCATCATGATGTGGGCCTGTTTTAGTTAGTACGGACAGCAGAGATAATCAAGGGACTGGTGATATCTTGTCCTACTGTATTGAGATTTCTGGACAGTTATGAACTCCAATGTTGGTAACCTGTAGGAAAAGAACCACACCTGTCTGGACATAATGCCATACATCATACTTCGTGTCTCAAGGTGGTTTGAGACAAATAACGTTCAGAATTTCCTTTAGCCAGTCCAGAGCTCTCACCTGATACAATTTAAATTCTATCGGCTTTTTTTTTCTTTCTGGAAAGCTGCCTGCGTAACAAAATACTGTGCTGCTTTGTAAAACAAGTAGTAGTCAATTTCTGTAGATATGTATCAGCGGTTGGTGGTAAATGTTAGCCACACTGTAATTGGTTCCAGAGATGTAGATACATATCAGTGCTTGGTGGTAAATGGTAGCCCCACTGTAATTGGTCCCAGAGATGACTCCACTCCATATTGAAACGAGAGCAATGAGAGGCGTAATAAAAACACCACCATTTCAAGGAGTGATACCACACCCACTCGTATGCATAGGCGTCCGCAGAAATTTTTCCTAGGGGAGGTGGAGGGGGCAAGATAGTTAAAATTATATAACCAACATATTGTGTAACCTCTCTTCTTTTTTTTTTTTTTTCAATAGGAATAAGTATAATTTAATATTCATATAAATTTAAAGCCTATGTCTACCGGAAATAATAATACGAATGTAAAGTTACGCCGACTTTCTTGACAGTTTAAAAACGTTTACACGGTATTTGTTTTAGATTTCTGTTTGCTCCAAACGAATTACAAGAAGACATTCAAATAAAGATGAAGTCCACAGACTTCTTGCACTTCATAACAAGCAATATGTTAAGTATTTTCTTTTATATTATTTTTTTTATATATGAGACGGTTAACAGCTACAATCACATGGCTAAAGTGGTAATTTAATTTCATATTTCCATTAGAAATGAAATAAGCACATGATCGGCAGTGACGAAATCGCGTTCTGGTATCCAGGAGAAACTAAACAGATATACACTCATAAACTGCTATTATTCTGTTAAAATAAATTAAGCCTTCCTCGTGATGTTAAAAAATGAAACGTTGATGTATCGATTTGAGATTTGTTTAAGGGACTGAATACACCAAATTTTACATACATATACACACAATAAAGTATTGATATTTGTGACTTAAAACCTTGGGGGGTCCCCTGGTGGAACAGCGGGAAATCTACAATACAATTTAACAACCAGTATACGATTTCAAATTCCTTTGAACTAGAATGGACAGAATGGGGAAATTGAATTCTAAACGAACTTACACAGTAATCCTGAAAGATAATCTTGATTTGATGCATCACTCGACCGGTTAGTACCGGTCACATTTGTGAACAGTTCACATTATTACGTAACAATATCCCATTTTACCGCGTTGTTCGAAACAAGAGATCTTAACCCTAAACTTATGCTCAGAAATCGGACTTGTGCGCATTTTCTATTGTTGAATGTTTCCACTAAACGTGGCAACTTCTATACGATCGACTCACGATTTTAGGGCTAACATACGAAAACAATGACACCATTTAACTACCCCTATCGACACG